TTCCGCTCACCGGACGAACGATCCACATGGGTTTAGCGCTTAACATGAACTATTAAACAAAGAACGAGACAGTTAAAAAAAGTGGAGACTGAGGTAGAATTAAACCAATGTTTTTAAAGTGGTGGGTCGTAAGCCAGTGGAAAGCCCTCTCGGTCAGATGAACAAAAGCTACGGTCATAATTATATTTAACTTCCTCCTGCAATTCCGTGAAGAAGTAAATCAGCATGGGGGACTGGAAAAGGTGAATGGGGTAATAACACCTGGACAGTAAAAGCCCAACAGTTGCCATCCTGTCAGAAACGTAAATGTTACTATCGCCGCAAGGTATGGCAACACTGCATACCCAGACAAAAACAGTGGCACAACAGCCTTATAGTGGCACTGTTAAAGTGGTGATATCTAAACAAATCCAGACCTCAAACTATTGTTTTAGTTAGTTTTAATATTTTATTAGCACCCCAACCCATCCTGTGGGCGTAGTCAAAAGATTACAGAGGTATAATAATGGGTCCAGGGACTGGGCCTCAAAGTTTTGACAGCTGAGCAAGTTACAGAAGGCAATGACTTCACAATTTACAAAGAGTAATGAAACTCACAATTTACAAAGGTAATGAACTCCAGGTAGGTCTAGTCACAATCATGACCAAGTTTACAAATGTATTTACAGATTACAGAGGTACAACAATGTTGTCCAGGGACCGGGCTCCAAAGTTTTGATGCTGAACTAGGTACAAGGAATTGAACTCAACAAGTTACAAAGGTAATGAACTCACAAGTTACAAAGAGTAATGAATACTGTAAGAATGGTTACTTACGTTTATACATGGTCTGCAATCCTGACAAATTTAAGAGTAATGAGGCAATTCACACTTCCACACCCGGTCACAACTGTAGTGAGTAAATTTTGGTGCAAATGTTTATTGCTGAAGTCTCTCTCTCTCTCTCACTACACACACACACAAAAACATACAAATTTTCAAACACACACACACATAAACACACATCACACACAACACACACACACACACACAAACTCCTACACACACACGCACACACACTCATACACGCACACACCACACTCATACACACCAACACACTCATACTTCACCACAGACAACACATCACACACACACACACAAGGGGGGAGCCAAAGTTACTAGTTATGGGTGGATTTCAATCACAAGGAATTGACTGGGAAAGCCTGAGCCCCATGGGGGGTCCCGAAAACATGAGAGAGCCAAGATGATGGATGTTGGTAACTGGAGAACCTCATGCACAACATATAGAGACACTACCAGAGGAGAGAGGAGAGTTATGAACCAGCAAGGTTGGACTTGTATCACCATGAGTAGTTCGGACATCGAGGGTATCATTTAATGAAAGGCCCCTGGAGCTAGTGATCATGTGGTTCTGTGCTTCGACTACATATGCGCTCCAAGTGGAGAGAGTAGCAGGAATAGGCTTGGGAAAAACCAAACTACAAAAGGGGAACTACTTCCAGGCATGAGGAACTTCTCTTCAAGACATTCAGTGGAGAGGGAACTGACAGGAAACCAGAACAAAAATGATGGACTATGTAGCATACTAAATGCAAGGAGGCAGAGGAGAGGTTTGTTCCCAAGGGAAACAGAAATAAATGGGAAGAACAGAACGATTCCTTGGTTCACCCAAAGGGTGTAGGAGGCAAAAACTTAGGTGTACAGAGAATGAAAAGGTACAGAAGACAGAGAAACTCAGAAAATAAAGAAATCATCCGAAGAGCCAGAAACGAAATGCACAGATAAGACGGGAGCTCAAGTACAATATGAAAATGACATAGCATCAAAAGTAAAGACTGACCCGAAGCTGTTGTAATACAGCCACATCAGGAGGAAACAACAGTTAAGGACCAGGTAATCAGACTGAGGCAAGGAGATGGGGAATTCACAAGAAACGCCGAGAGGTATGTCTAGTAGCTCAACACAAATTTAAAAGAGGTATTTACAGTGGAACAAAAACCAGTAGGACTTCCAAGAAATTCAGAACAGGGGGGGCACACCGGCAAGTGCTGGATGAGGTACATATAAACCAAGGAGGAGGTGACGAAGCCTCTAGGCTAACTTTACACCTCAAATGGCGGTGGGACCAGACAACATCTCTCCATGGTGCGCCTTAAAGAGGAGCAAAATTATTGTGTGAGCCATAAACAAAGATCGTCAACACATCAAAAATTGAAACAGGGGCAACTCCCTGATGTATGGAAAAAAAATGGCAAATGTAGTCCAATTTTTAAAAAGGGAGACAGACATGAGGCACTAAACTAAGACCTGTATCACTAACGTTTATAGTATGCAGGTCATGGAGAAGATCATCAGGAGGAAGAGTGTGTGGCAACCTGGAAAAGAAACAAGTCCATCAGAAAAACATTGTGTGGAAAATATTTGGATATTCTTGTTTTCTAAAACCCCTGTTTTTTAACGTGAATTTCTTTATCTCACGGGGTTAAATCGCCAAGTTTTGTGTTTTCTGAATAAACTGATTCTGAGTTTCTTTTGACTCGCCTTATTATACGCATTTTCGAGGGTTTAGTTGTGGTCAGGTTCTTTTACGGTTCTTTATTTCTCACGAAAAGAATCGACCCGAACCACTTTTATCAAGCGCTGACTGGCTTTGGAAATTACCATATTTACAGACATGACAAACCATATGAATCAATTAAATCTGAAGTTGCAAGGTGAAACAAAATTGATTTGTGATTATTCATGCATGTCGAGGCATTCAGGACAAAACTGATGCTAATTGAAGGACAAGTGAAAGTTTCTAACTTGGCTCATTTCCCATGTGAAAAATTTCATAAAGGATATGAAGCAGAATTTCCTTGTTCATTTGCAGTAGAAATCATTAATGATTTGACGGTTTCAAAACGATTTTTTGATCTTGATGGAAAAAACGGAATAAAATAAAACTGTTTCAAAATCATTTGACAGCAGTTGAAACACTGCCAAGTTAGTTTGAAATAAAAATTTAAATGATCTCCAATCAGATAATGACTCCAATCAGATGATCTCCAATCAGATGACACGATGAAAGAAAAGTATAGAGAAGAAAATCTGATGCAGTGTTATAAATCTTTACAATCTGAACAATTTCCGGATTTGAAGTGATTTACTTGTACTTTCATATCAGTTTTTGGTACAACGAACCTTTATGAACAAACACTTTCATAAATGAAATATATCAAGTCCAAATAAACTATACAGCCTTATACAGTACTGGATGTATTATCTCTGTGTAATGTATTTCCACATAACTAAATAAAAGTAACCTGGTTTAAATCAGTACAAAAGAAATAGATAAATTGAGAAACTCATTATCTCTTATAATCAGTATTAGTGTCCATTACCACAAATATTTGTTTACAATAGATTAAAGCAGTGTTGTAAAAACAGGCACAAAACTTAAGAAAAGTAAACATCAGAAATACTCCAGTAATAGTGCAAAAATTTGACAAGTGTACATGTTAATTACTAACATGATAAGAATACCACATTATCAACCCTGTGTCGCACAGAAATCTTTAATAAACAAAACTGGCTAACGCAAAAACACACCTCTGAGAGAAGGAGGAGAGTACATGAGGGAAGAGTATCAGAGTACAAAAACTGGATACATAGTCACAAACAAAACCCCAAATAATTCACAGTATAAAAATTATGCTTTCCATCCTAGCTCCTTGGTATCTCCCAAGTTGCTGCTTGCTGATATTACGTCAACTCCCAGTTTGATCGTCTAATACCTGTCCAACTAGCTGTTTAATACGTGTTCATCTTGTGGTGTACCAGTCACTGGTGTATATTGTGTGTGACTTATAGTGTACCAATCACTGGTGTATATTGTGTGTGGCTTGTAGTATACCAGTCACTGGTGTATATTGTGTGTGGCTTGTAATATACCAGTCATTGGTTATATGTGTGTGGCTTGTAGTATACCAGTCACTGGTGTATATTGTGTGTGGCTTGTAGTATACCAGTCACTGGTGTATATTGTGTGTGGCTTGTAGTATACCAGTCACTGGTGTATATTGTGTGTGACTGGTAGTATACCAGTGACTGGTGTATATTGTGTGTGACTGGTAGTATACCAGTCACTGGTGTATATTGTAAATCACTTAAGTCAAATAATAAGTGTAAGGGTTGTAATAACAACAGATATGTGTCTGTATTTCGAGGAAATGTTTTGGTTTTCTCGGCGATGGTTTATTAATGGAGGTACATGTTTTATTATTTATTATTATGCTTGTATTAATGTCATAATAAAGGTTTAAAAGTGAGCTTATTACTTTATAGTGAATATTATACAGGTTATATTTTAGGTATCCTCAAAAGGAGACTTTTTAAATGTTTGCTTAATTTTTTCTCTCGTTTTTTTCATCCAACTTTTTTTTTTTCTATTTTGTTCACAACACGAGAAAGCCTCATCCAATCGGCTTCAAATTTTCAAAGCTGGTGTACGGTAACCAGGGCAAGTTTCTTGGAACACTTAGGAAGGGCAGGCGTCCTTTGACCAAATTTGTGGAATGCATTTCAGGATTCCTGGAACGACCAAGTAACTTACTAAACCTTTTTGTAAGTTACTTGAAACTGTCACTTTTGTGTGTAAAATAGTGGGGAATTTTTATTCCGTTAAATCACGTTAAGTATATTGGAGTCTGCATCTGAAAGGTTTCAGTATGTAATGGGTAATGTATCTTATGACCAGGATAGTACACTTTAAGTTTAGTTTGCTGGTAGATTTGTCAACTTAGTTTATAGATGTTTGAATCATTGTAATGCACCTTGTGTAAACAATCAACTAGAGACTTATTAAAGCATCAAGTGTCAGTTTACGTGGTGTGTGACGCTTGTCTTTAACATATTTACAAGCTTTATCATAGCTCTAACCTCGACGGATACACATAACTTGTTTTGTCATAAAGAGAAAGACATAACTTCTATCATGCTTCAGACATAACAAGACATACCTGTTTTTGCCACTTGTAGTCACATGCTATCATTGATGCCATGTGCCGGCAGTAGATGGTGTCTTGACTTAGGGATTCCTGGTGGCTTGACAAACTACCATTTTCCTTCACGGACTTGGAATCTTGCAGAGCATCACCAGATGCCACAGTGATGCTAGTAAGACCATGGTACCAACAGTGTTGCTACAATGATGGTGTTGATGGTAGTGCTGGATGGTTGATGCATTGTGAACCTGTCACCATAAATCAACATTATTAAGTACAACTAACTGTGCCAACTAGTATTAAGTAGATACCAGTGACTTACTGTCCACAATGAAGATATATGACTAGCGTTTGTTTTACTCTGTGTACAGCTTTACACACTCTCACACACACACACACACACACACACACACACACACACACACATTTTCAAAAAAGGAGACAGAAAAGAGGCACTAAACTATAGACCTGTGTCATTGACGTGTATAGTATGCAAAATTATGGAGAAGATTATCAGGGGAAAA